CAATACTGTCCGCCCTCTTGCCTTTCACTCGCCTAAAAGAACCATTTAAACAGGGTAGATGTGCATCGCATTTAAAATGCAGCAGTGCATGGGACGCATATGTCAGAATAAGCCGTTGCTATCGGGACATACTCTTGTATAACTCTTCTTCAGGTTGAGCATGTCATGCGAAAGCCTCAAAAAGGTAGAGGAAACGTATTTCTTGCTCACCCGTTCGGTGAAGTCTAAGAATGACCTGAGGCAGTGGCATGACCACTTCCTCTCCAGGTTCTGGTTATTTGTCGAAGTTCAGTCAGTGGAACAGAATCAGAAACACTGGAGATACTGTTGTCTGACAATGCTTCTCAGCTTTCCCACAAGATAAGCGGTCATCGAAACTAACTGACCCTTTTGCAGCATATTACACAACGATTGACGTAGCTTTACAGGTTTTTGCTGCACTATACTGCACTTTTTTGTTGCCATACCTTTTAGGTGGCTGAGGAATTGTCATGCCGTATAAATCATATACTTAAGCAAAGGACAATTGTTTTCTACGTCAAAAACCATTCCATGTGAGATCTTTTTCTAAGTATTAATGCTTCAAGACATCAAAGTTAAAGAAATTGCACGAAACTGGTTGTTAATGAAAATCAACAATGGTAATGAATACATAAATAAATACATCGTAATCACTCATCGGCGTTTAACATACGCTAAAAACCTGTACATCAAATCCAGCGCTTGAAAAGGAAACGCCAGCGCATATCAATATTGACCAAGCTGTTCAGGCATGGGACCGGTCTCTTTGAGCTGGAAAAGAATTAAGTGAAACGAAGAACATCATTCAAAAAATTAAAAAAACATTGAGCTGAAGAGCAATGTATGCAACATATTGTAACCTGTTACCTCCTATTTACTGTTATCATCATATCGAATTGCTGCCATTCTTGAATGAAATACAGAAATCATCGTATTTCTAGTAGTAATGTAAAATATATGAAATAAAATATCCTCCTGACGCTGCTACTTTGTGACTCGGCAGAAACAGCTCAATGGGAAAATCGATGCATCACTCATAATTAATATAATAATTAAACCTAATTTATTTTATATTTAACCACAACCGATCGACAACATATCGACATACCTGTTCTAGAATTTTTAAGAGTTCAAGCGCGTTGTCTTTGCCAGCTTCCGAGTCAAAATCACCGGCACCGTTTTCGTACAGGCTACATATCCTTTGCAAAAGCCGCATTTGTTCGTTGCAAGTAATTCTCTCTTTGCTACTCATACCAGTGCTTCCTCCAGAGTTAAACCATATTCGATACTATTGAAAATGAAAGCAAAATAAATTAGTTAAATAAACAGACTTTAGGTGGAAGCAGCTGCTGATGCTAATCTAATCGTTAACAGCATGAAAGAGTAAAACGGGCCGGAGAGAAGGACATTAGTTGAAAGACTGACTCACTAAAATAACATCATGTCTCGTTTGCTGCCCGTAGCGAAAAGAACTGAAACGACTGAAAACAACTTTTCATGATCTGGTCTGGAATATCTTTGAGCCCGGCAAAACCCAAAGAGCAGTCGATCTCGCACTGACCAATGCAGTTCTACACGTTCTTGCGTTTGCAGCTTACCGGCGTGAAAGTAATTTTAGGCTTTATAACCGAAGTGCGTGAAATCGAGTGCCTATACTATCAATACTGATTTGGTTCGTTGCCGAGCGACTGTCGGAGTCCACTGCTTATAGTCAAGTCTCAATTCGGAGGTACAGTTTCAGCAGATTTTCATTACCATTGGTATAGAAAGGCGTGCATTTCTTATAACATCTGAACAGAATATGCTAATCTGCATAAGGCATATAAGCAGCGCTATCAAGTGGCAGAAGTCCTGGACGAAATTCATCTCATGATCATTTCAAGCGCGGATGTGAAGCTCTTTCAATCCCGTAGGTTCTTGCTCTACAGACGCATTGGTCATAAATAAATGACCGGAATTTCTATGCCACATATAGTGAGAATGAAAAGGCGATAAATGCCATTACATTCGTATAGGACACACCTGAAGTGGAACTCAGGACACACCTGAAGTGATGCTTTGAATCGAAGATGGAGTCAGGTTTAGAGATTCTATTTTCAGTTCGCCGAATGAAAAGTTAGAATCATTCCGAATCGAAGACCACGTACTTTTCTTTAATCACAGTCCAGTTCTTCAGGTCTAAGCGAAGACAAATGTAACTACTACAGCAGTCGCCTGTCATGCAATTACACTTAGTGCGATGGCTATTGAAATTGTTCATCTAGGTAGTAGGGAGATGTGGCACAACAAGCAAAGTGAGAAAGGAAGGAAATTTTGTCACCGTTAAAATGTTGGTCTTCCGTTACTTTCATGATTAACAGCTTTTGGCGCCCTTCTTTTCATAAAGTATACGGTTAAGTGTTCATTTCCATTTTTGTGCAATCAGCCAAGAGTGGCATATTTTTTAAAGTATAGTCTACAGCCATTTTAAACCGTAGGGTGGAGTCTCCTGCTTCCTTCCCACGGAAAGGTGCCCATTTATCAACCTTAGAAGGAAGACGAGCACGTGATCCTGACCGGGGATTGAACTCGGTCCTATCGAGTTCTGAGTTCGACGCCCTACCAAATGTACAACAAAGTCGCAAGCCATGTATGGTAAAATTCTTACTTAAGGAAATTAATGAGGAAGACTCGAACCTGACACTTCCGGCGTTCGAAGCAAACCTTTTAGACTCAGTGCCAACTATCTCGAGACGCGCTGTGGAAGAGGTTTACAACGCCGCTGTGGAAACGAAAAACGGCACGAACTAGTTCTACCACCAAAGGACAATTTAGGAAGAAAAATAACGCATGCAAAAACCATAGATCATATATACAAAAAAACCAACCTTTTCATAACATTCTTTCAGACTTGGATACAACGTGTCCTTGGACATTAACCTGCCGACCATTGCATTCATGAATGGAAGAAACTCGT